CAAGGAAACGCCCACAACAACGCAGAGACACTCGTTTTATGTGTGAGGAGTGTAAGACACCACTGTGCATGACACCATGTTTCAAAGACTTCCACAGGCTGCAGAACTTCTAGAAACATTCCCTGTGACTGTATATGTGTATATATAGAAAAATAGTAATAAACAACATTTCATATCTGTTTGTGTAAATATTTTCTATAAACAAAACAATGACAACAGTGTTTACGCCCTTATTGTGTAGTATTGAAAAAGAAATAACTTACAAAATACGTACTGATCATATTGGTCTCACAGGCCATAAAAGTTACTTGGAAAAAGAAAAATTAAAAAATAATAGAAAATAGTACGTAAAACAGTAAATAAAAGAATACCGGATGATGGCAGTCGGCGATGTTGCCACATTGTGCCCCTTTTTCACCAACTTAACGCCTCCATATCTCGGTAAGTATTGATGGTAAAAATTTTTTGTTTAGCCTATAATGTTTAGAAAAAAAAATTTTTCTTCATAAGAAAAAAAAAATTTTTTTTTTTTTTTGAAATTTGGCCGACCCTGAGAACAAATCTCTGAGAGGACCTGTCGACCCTCAAAGGGGTTCAGCATCCCAGAGCGATAAAATGCATATACAGTTCACTCATTACTTATCTTAAAATATCTGTAGTCTTAATGTAGGGTCAGAGGTGAGTAAACAAGATAAAACGAATAAATGACAGAGAGAGAGAAAGAATGAGTACATGAGAGAGGACAGGCGCAGAGTTATGTAAACAAACCATGCGAACATAAGTTTTGTAAACAAAGTGTACACGTCTGGTTTGTGTCAAAGTTACATTGTGTACAAGTTGTCTCTACATTGATACGGTAGAATAAATAAAGAAGAACACTCCCATTCTCATGTAACACCATTTTTGGAAGAAATAAAGCTCTGAGTGAATGCAATGGAAATAAGTCACTCTGTCTGACTTTTTTGGGTTATCCTAGATTCTCTACTCATATGCTGTTATGTATCATAATCTATGTAAATGCATTTGTGTATACATGTACCTGAATACATAAACTTACATACATACAAAAGGAATAATTTTCTACAGTTACCCCAGTAACACAATTTCTCTTATGTTAGACTAGAGAAAATGTTATTCTTGCCATCACTTGCACAAGTTATCTGGCTCCCACATCTCATATTTATGTTTATTTATTTTACTTTGTGTTGTATTTATCATCTTTATATGTTATGCAGCATGTTTATATAATTTTGAAAAAATATCATACATAGATTAATGAAAATGTGTATAGTAACGTAATACACGACATTTAACCTGTAAATGGTCCAAACATATATATACGTTCACTACCGTACTGCCCCAACTTTTTTGAGAAAAAAAAACATTGCTGTTTTTTAATAGGAAAAAAAGAGCATATGGTACCCAGGCATCCCCAATTATTTTAATATGGTGCACAGTGAGTGCTCACACCCATTCTTCCTTAATATCTCCTTTGTTTATGCCCGTCATCCACTTATACACTTCAATGATATCTACCCTCATTCTACGTCTCTCCAGAGAGTGGAGATTGAAGGCTTAAAGTCTATCTTCATACGGGAGATTCCTTACACAGTAAATCATTTTAGTCCTTCTCTGCATGTTCTCCAATGAGTCTATATCCATCCTATAGTACAGAGACCAAAACTGTGCAGCATAATCTAAATGAGGCCTCACTAGTGATGTATAGAGCTGTAAAATAACTTTTGGACTTCTGTTACTTATACTTCTCGAGATAAATCCAAGTTATCTGTTAGCCTTGTTGCACACACTTAGGCACTCCTGTCTTGGCTTTAGATTAATGTTTACCATGACTCCCAAGTCCTTTTCACATTCTGCATGATCAAGCTCTACTTCACCTAGTTTATAGCTTCGAGGATTATTGTCATTACCAAGGACTAGTACCTTACACTTATCCACACTGAACTTCATCTGCCATTTTTCAGACCAAGACATTAATTTGTCCAAATCCCCCTAGAGTTCATTGCTATCCTCCTCAGAATGAATCATACGGCCTATCATTGTATCATCAGCAAATTTGCTCATGTCACTCGTAATCCCTTTATCAAGGTCATTAATGTAAATCATGAACAAGGGAGGGCCTAAAACTGATCCTTGTGGATTGCCACTAGTGACTAATCCCCATTCAGATTCGACCCCATTAATGGAAACTCTGCTTTCTATTGGTAAGCCATGCCTCTATCCATGCTAGAGCTTTACCTCCTATACCATGAGCTGCCACTTTTCTTAAGAGTCTCTTGTGAGGTACTCTATCGAAGGCTTTACTAAAATCCAGATAAACAATATCATATTCTTTATCACTGTCTACTGCCTCAAATGTTCTATTGAAGAACGTCAGTAAATTTGTCAGGCAGGAACGACCTCTTGTGAACCCATGCTGAGATTCATTAATCAAATTATGCTCTTCAAGGTAACTTCTAATAATGTCAGCTATAAATGATTCTAATAACTTGCCAACTATAGATGTCAGGCTTATTGAGCAGTAATTTGAAGGAATGGACTTATCCCGATTTGAATATAGGAACCACGTTAGCCATCTTCCACAACTCTGGCACATCACCAGTAAGGATGGATGCATTAAACACACTCGTTAATGACTGACTAAGTTCCATCTTGCATTCCTTAAGTACCCTGGAAAACAACTCGTCAGGCCCAGGGGACTTATCTTGCTTCAGTCTGTCTATCTGTTTGATAACCATGTACCTTGTGACAGTAATATTAGTTAGTTTGAATTCATCAGGAACTGAAAAATTTTTAATTTCTGGAATCTCATTTGCATCTTCCTGTGTAAAAACTGACAAAAAATAGTCATTAAATAAGGAACACATTTCCAGTTCGTTATCCGTCAGCTGTCCATTCCCAATTTTCAGAGGTCCTTTGGATTGGTCTTTGATTCATTAGCAACCCTAATTTCATAGTCACGTTTAGCCTTCCTGATCCCCCTTTTTACTTCTCTTTTCAGCTGAGCATATTGGTCAGTAAGGTTAACCTCTCCTCTTCTGATGTGCCTGTAAATTCTCCTTTTCTCCCCTAATAGATGCTTTACCCTCCTGTTAACCCATTTGGGATCGTTATTATTAGACCTAATTTCTCTCTGGGGAATGTATATACTCTGCGCACGGTGTACATTATTAAGAAAAAATCATAAACGCAGATCCCTTCGTAATCATAAGCATGATCATTGTCAATAAAATCATTAGCTAGATAACCCCAATCGAGATTAGACAGATGTTCCCTAAGTACATTGTAGTCGGCAGAACGAAAATCAGGGGTTTTTACCATATTATCATTATTCTTGTATTCCCAGTTAATGCTAAAAGTGATGGATTTGTGATCACTTGCACCAATTTCTTCAGTGAATTCCAGATTATTTACGAGTGTTTCCTTATTTGATAAGACTAGGTCGAGCAAATTATTACCCCTGGTAGGATCTGTTACACACTGCTTCAGAAAACAGTCCTGAACTGTTTCCATAAAGTCACTGGACTCCAGATTACCGATCAAAGAATTCCAGTCAATTTGACTAAAGTTAAAATCCCCTACTATTACTATGTTATTGTGTCCAGTTAGCCATGTTGCACACACTAAGGCACTGCTGTCTTGGCTTTAGATTTCTGCTTACCATGACTCCCAGAAACACTGCAGCAGGCCTATTGGCCCAAACTGGGAATGCCTTCACAAATCCATCCATCCACATACATTTGCCCTACCTATTTTTTATGCTACCCAAGCCATAGCTTTTGTAACCTTTCTCATGTACCAGCTGACATTTCCACCACATGTATAACTACTTCCTCTACTTGTGTGGGCAAAACATTGTCAATAAAGAATCACATTATACTGCTGAGTCTGGCCATGCATCTGGCAGCCTGGCTGCCAAACACATGGCCGTAAGTCGAGTGGACGTATGTCGAGCAGATCGTAAGTCAGATGGTAGGTGTATTTTCGTATAGTATTTATGGTTGTATTCTTATTTTCTTGACCTCATTTGATAAAATGGAAGACATATTACAGAAATAGAGATGATTTTGATAGGTTTCACAATAAAATGAACCTTAAAATTGAGCTCAAATTAGCGGAAAAGTCTGATTTGTGCCAATGTTCAAGGGTAAACAAATGATGTCACTGTCCAATACGTGTCCAACTAGCCATTTTAATGTGCAGACATGAATGGGTTGACATTATTTATACAACTATTACAATAATGCAGCAGTCTACATAACAGTAAATCTTCTATTTTTTGTGTGAACAACAATTCAAAATAGTAAGCAAGAGCAATATAAGAAGGGCCTGGATACGTGACTAATGAACAGAGAAAATGTTATTTTAGTACCAGGAATGTCTGCGTTGTTTATTCTGGACCCTATTATGAAATTAGCCAAATTTGCCAATTTCTGACCACTTTATTGGGTAGCTGAAATCGGTAAATGGGCAGTTTCTTGTAGTTCTCAAGAAATAGGTATGAGTTTGGTGAACTGGAACAATGGAGTTGGCCGAAATCGCTGATGTGTATATATTGCCAAGATCGCTAACTTCGCAAGACCGTAATTCCTCGAGTTTTTCATCAAATTTTGTACTTTTAGTGTCATTACCATCAGGAAAAGATTCTCTATCATTTCATAAGAAAAAAAGATTTTTTTTTTTAATATTTTGTGACAGAGAAACACTTCAGGATTTGGGATCTTGACAGTCAAAAGGTTAATGTTGCAGTTTTATAACCCGTAGTGTAAGCACACCTCTGGCAAGACAGTGATAGAGTGAATGCTGATGAAAGTTTCTCTTTTTTTTTTTTTTTTTTTTGGGGGGGGGGGGGCTACCTTGGTGGGAAATGACAAATGTGTTAATAAAAAAATAATAATTGTATGTAAACTATTTTAGAGGAGTTTAAATGCATAGCAGTATATCTACTGAAGGAAAAAGTGAAAAATTATAAAAATACATACCCTTTTGATATCCTTAACATCCCACACATACATGGAGTGGTCATTATACACAGCCGTCACTTTATGGTTGTTTTCATCAAAAGCAATGGCAATGGTGTCGGGGTACTTGGCATTATTGGGATGGGTGGCCATGTGACTGCATAAAAAAATTATGTTAAGTCTCATGTCTACATTAAGCAACATTCCTTTTCAATAAGTTAATTGTTAGTGACAGTCATATATATTAGTCTAAAATTATCAAATGGTATTATGCCATCAACTAATACAACCTTATTTTACATACAGAAAAAAATTCAAATTAAAAATGAACAACTTAAAACATTCACATGATATCACACTGACCAGATAAATGTTCCGTAATCACTACAGGAAAATTATTAACAACACAACATACAACATGCTCATAAAAATACGAATAATGTGTTTTGTTACTCGCACAGATTTCTTCTGTACAACTGAATATTAATGTTCTAACAAACATCCTAAATCAGTCTGATTAATTTTGCTAGGACATATTAAAAATTTTAACAAACATAAGCAACCTTATCCATTAACTGATATTATTATTTTATTTTTATCCATATTGTATACACAGATGTAACAATTATGAGGAGGCTGGAGGCAGTGGAGATGTCATATTTGAAGGCAATTTTTTTTTTTTTAAACATCGGCCATTTCACACAGAGGCAGGGTGACCCAAAAATAAACTAAAACCCAAAAAGAAAGAAAAAACTTCCATCAACATTCAACACTTTCACCATCACTCAAGCATAATAACTGTCTTTGCAGAGGCACTCAGATACTGCCAATATCCCAAACCCCTCCTTTAAAGTGCAGGCATTGTACTTCCCATTTCCAGGACTCAAGTCCGGCTAACCGGTTTCCATGAATCCCTTCACAAAATATTACCTAGCTCACACTCCAACAGCTTGTCAGGTCCCAAAAACCATTCACCTCCATTCACTCTTATCTAACACGCTCATGCATGCCTGCTGGAAGTCCAAGCCCCTTGCCCACAAAACCTCCTTTACCCCCCTTCCTCCAACCTTTCTGAGGATGACCCCTACCCTACCTTCCTTCCCCTACAGATTTTTATGCTCTCCAAGTCATTCTATGTTCCATTCTCTCTAAATGACCAAACCACCTCAACAACCCCTCTTCAGCCCTCTGACTAATATTTTTAGTAACTCCACACCTCCTAAATTCCACACTAAATTCTCTGCATAATATTTACACCACACATTGCCCTTAGACGTGACATCTCCACTGTCTCCAGCCTCCTCCTCGCTGCAGCATTTACAACCCATGCTTCACACCCACATAAGAGTGTTGGTACCACTATACTCTCATACATTCCCTTCTTTGCCTCCAACGCACCTTTGAAGAGTTTCGAGAGTTCATCTACTCTCTGAGCCCGGCCATGGGCCAAGCTCGTCTGGTGCTTGCCTGGTCAACCAGGCTGTTGCTGCTGGAGGTCTGCTGCCCCACATATCCATCACAGCCTGGTTGATCTGGCACCTGGTGAAGATATTTGTCTAGCTTCCTCTTGAAGGCTTCTACACTTGTTCCAGCAGTGTTTGATATATTCTGGTAAGATGTTGAAAAGTCTGGGACCTCGGATGTTGATACAGTGTTCCCTTACTGTCCCCACCGCATCCCTGCTCCTCACTGGGTTTATTTTACACTTCCTCCCATATCTCTCACTCTAGTATGTTGTTATGGCAGTGTGCAGATTTGGGACCAAGCCATCGAGTACCTTCCAGGTATATATTATCATGTACCCCTCTCTCCTCCGCTCCAATGAGTACATGTTCAAGACTTGAAGGCGTTCCCAGTAGTTTTGGTGCTTTACTGGCTCGATGTGAGCCATAAGCGATCTCTGTATTTGTTCCAGCTCCGATTTTCTCCTGTCTTAAACGGGGCCGTCAGCACTGAGCAATATTCTAAGTGAGGGAGCACTAGCGATTTATTTCCCTTGGCATTATTTCCCTTGTTTTGAAAGTTCTCAATACCTACCCCATCGTCTTCCTGGCTGTTGTGATCTTTGTCTTGTTATGGTCTTTAAAAGAAAGGTCCGCTGACATAATTATTCCTAGGTCTTTTACGTGTTCCTTACGTTCTATTTGGTGACCCTCTTGAGTTTTGTATATAGCGCTCCTTTTGAGTTCTTCATTCTTTCCATACCTAAGCAGTTGGAACATCATGTTTTCCACTGCCCACTGGAAAACCCTGTTTATGTCTTCCTGTACTTTTCAGTGTCCTCTACCGTACTGACTTTCATGCTCATTTTAGTGTCATCTGCAAATGACGCTACAAAAGTGTGCCGGGTGTTTTTGTCTATGACTGCTATGAGGATGAGGAACAGCAGAGGTGCCAGGACAGTGCCTTGGGGCACTGAGCTTTTGACCTCGCTGATGCTGGATCTTGCCCTGTTCACTACTACTTTTTGTGCTCTGTGTGTTCGGAAACTGAAAATCAATCTGCCTATCTTCCCCGTAATGCCCATGGCCTTCATTTTGTGCATTATCACTCCATGATCGCATTTGTCAAACTCCTTTACAAAATCTGTGTAAATCACATCAGTATTTTGGTCGTCTTCCAGTGCCTCCGTAATTCTGTCATAATGGTTCAGCAGCTGTGACAGACATGATCGTCTTGCTCTAAAACCATGCTGGTTCGGGTTATGTTGGTTGTGCTGGTCCATGAAATTTGTAACCTGCCATCTCATCACTCTTTCAAAAATTTTTATGATGTGAGAGGTTAGGGCTACTGGTCTGTAATTTTTAGCTAGTGCTCTACTACCTCCCTTATGCAAAGGAGCTACGTCTTCACTCTTTAAGGCCTCCGGTATTTCACTTAGATCTAAGCTCTTTCTCCAAAGAATACTGAGGGCTCGTGCTAGTGGTACTTTGCACTTCTTTATAAATAGAGCATTCCATGAATCTGGTCCAGGACCTGCGTGAGTGGGCATGTTTTCCATTTCTTTTTCAAAATCTATGGGATTTGTACTAATGTCAGTTAGCTGATCTGTGCAGCCTTCTTCTGGAGTGAAAAATATTTCTGCATTTTCTACCTTACTGTCATTTAGTGGGTTGCTGAACAATGACTCATACTGTTCTTTTAGGATTTCACTCATTTCCTGTTCATTGTCAGTATACGAGTCTCCTCTCAGTAGTGGTCCAATTCTACAAGTAGTTCTTAGCTTGGATTTTGCATAGGAATAGAAATATTTTGGGTTCCTTGCAATATCCTGTATGGCCCTTTGTTCCCTTTGTACTTCTTCTGTGAGGTATGACATCCTAAGTTTTTGCTCTAATTCAGTGATCTCTCTGCTAAGTCTATCTTTACTCTGCTGTAGCATATTTGCGTTTTTAAACAGTTCAGTAACCTGTTTTCTTCTGTACCATCTCCTATGCTCTGTTTCTATATCTTATGTGATGTTTTACCACATATTTCACAATCAATACCCCTCATGTTTCTCCCAAAGATTTTTTTCACATATACAACAGCCTTTATTCCTGGCCATGATTACTTTTAAACAGGTGTATGTAGTGGATGGTGTATTTATTACGTGTGGCTGGTGGTGTGGTGGCTGGTAGGTGGGGTGGGCTGGGAAGTGGGTATATTTGGGTAGAGGGTAGGGACAACAGGAGGAGGGGGCTGTGCAGTGGAGTGTTAAGCCGGGAGATAGGGGTCTGTGGAAAGCAGGTGAGGTGCAAGGGGGGGGGGGGGGGGGGATTGTTGGATGGGTGGTGTAGGATCCGGGGAATGGGGTGGGGGCACAAGGCGGGGTCTGGGAGGTGGGGTGCAGGTGGCACTTGTGCACTTGTTCCCATACAATTATACCATAGTTTTACACTACACTCTGGATTAAAAGGATTAACTCTTATCCATAAGTTCAGTTTACTATATCACTGCCTATTTATATCCTTTTTTCCTCGTTATAACACTTGTACGATAGTTTGAACTTCCCTGTCACCTCTGACAATTTTTTTCCAGGTGATGGACGACCCATGAATATATTCCATATATTATGCACTATATTCATTATATTTCTTATGAAATGAGAAACAGTCCTTCGGAACAAAACACGACCCACTGTGTGGTAACACCTAACTGTCCTGGTATCCTAGTCTATTCGTTATATGTGGTAACTCGAACCTTCTAGTATCACTTGTCACATGGCAACACCAGGGCAAGTAGATTGACCCACCACTGCCACACTTCACTATTGTTTTTTTTATTTTATTTCCTTTTATTTTATCACTGGTATTTTATCACTGTGTTATCTCAAGGATATACAATGTATTCGTTCAAGATACACTTTTCTTTTCACTGCACTATACTGGGATCATTGTTTTATTATTCATACGGCACTAGGCCTACGGTAACTTTCCCCTGCACTTCCATAGCAGTAATGCTTAGTAGAGGTAATGGGGAAACATGTCACACAGTAGACTTATGCCTTTACATCGATTTTATGCTCAATTTATGTATACTGTGGTTCCCTGCACCTCAATGCTACCATCACTCGTTTTATTACTTATGACTGTAGTAAATACTCATCCGTTATTTCCACTTCTCTGGACCTCCGGCAATAGTTCGCTAGTGCCAGTCACTTGTAAATATTCCCATATGCTACACCATATATTTTACGCTATACTGGGGATAATTATGATTACTCATATCTACAATTTATTTCACTATGTCACTGCACATAAATATCTTTGTCACTCGCCATATTACTTATAGATAGTTCAATATCTGTTTGTTTATTTCCACTTGTGTCGACATCTGGCAATAATTCGCTAGTGCTGGTCAAACCTATTTCCAGAGTAACCGTTGCTCTACTGGCACTCTCCATATGACACTGTAATCCATATTTTTCTATTTGGTGTTCACTGAGTATATGCACTTTATGGTTACACACGCTTATTTCCCGCCCTCTGTTCCCCCTGGGATTATCAGGAAACACAATTTCTGATGGAGCTCAACGGCACGTGACTTCCCCTCACCAGACACACATACATACACTCACCTTTTTTTTCCTTCATCAATTCTATGGTTAACATTCACTGACAAATCACCTCCCAAATATCTGAAAACATTTACTTCTTCCATATTTCCTCCCTACAA